AGATGACAGAGAATGTAGGAATAGAGGAATTACCCCACGAAGCCAGTGGATTCCAGAAGGGACATCCTTTTCTCCAGCACTAACCAGTACCAGCTGCTTTGGCAGAGGGTTCAAGACTGCTCTAATGGTCATGTAAGTGGCACAATGAAGTCCAATTGGAGCTTGCACATCCCAGTCATCTCAGGGCCAGAAAGCACCACAAGCAGGAAGCTTGGAAAGCAAGGGTTGTCCTCATCATGCAGTGGCCAGAAATACCAGGATGACTAAAACAACAGTAGAATTGGAGAGGCGTGAGAGAAACATAAGGAAAAGCTGCTGCTTGTAAAGAAGAGCTCAATAGTTTTGTCTAAAAAAATAATAATTGGAGCCAGCCCCACTCACCCCTGTTGTAAAGTCAACTGGAGTCAATGGTGTTTATACCAGGGAAAATTTGGAGTTGTGACTCTTTCCTTACAAACTCTGTTTCTTTATTTCCCTCTCACCCACCACTGTGGTCAGCAGAGTGCTCAGTTTAACCTCAGCAATTTGCTTCAGCAGCAGTAAGTAATGAGCTTTACATTGTTTTCTCTTATACCCAGTGGGCATCAATGAAGCTTAAGAATCCCTAACTGAACCCAGTTACAGGGAGTGAAAGCCAGGAAGAGCTATTCCTAATATCCTTAGAAAAGCACACTCTACAAAGCAGCTCATTGCACAAATGCAACAGCATCCTCCAACCCCCACTCCACTGCTGTGGTTCAAACCCCAGTGCTGTCGCAAAATATGGGAGAACTGAAGTGGGGTTTTGGGTGCTGAATGAAAACATGAAAAGCAGGCATCACACTGAACTTCTAAATACCAGATGTTCCACACAATCATCTTCAGCTGTTCCCATTGCAGTGGATAATATAATTGTAATGCATAATCCTCAGAAGCATTCCAGAGTCTTTCACAGCTTCATTTTTGTAAAAAAAAACCAGTCAAAATATTGGCAGAATTCTACATTTCACCTTTTTCCTGCTTAGAACCAAGTGCACCTTGTTTCTGGAAGCAAATGACTATATTCCAAAGGTGGAATACAAGGGTGCAAGTGGGCATATTTTCTTCTCATCACAACACTGCAAAACGAATATATAATTTACTTTCTTAAGTTGGCAAAGAATGAAAAAAGAATGCTTCTTTTGAGCGTGAGTGGGAAAGATCAAACCAAACGGAAACATCCTGATCAAAGTTAAAGGAATCTTGTGTGTTCCAAGGGAACGGTAAAGATCTAGAGCAGAAAAAAAAGCAGGTTTATTTTGTACATTGGGGAGGGATGCAGGCATTGGTATGTGAATGCCTGCCTTTTCTTGGTAAAGCATTCTTCAGACCTCTTAGCACTGTACCGTCCCAATTCTAAAATTGCATGAGATTCCCATCTGAACACACTGGCAGCGTTTATTCTAAGATCATAGGATGCAACACCAAAGTGGAGCTTTGTCTGTGCAAAGATGAAGAACTAACAGTTATTTCAGTGGCTCACAGTGAGTCTGAAGAGCATTGTAAGGAGAAACCGGGTGGAAATGAACAAAGAAATGTTGAGGCTGAATATAAGAAGAAAATAGTTTTGGGTTGAGACTGATTAGGTTGTGAAATAACCTCCCAAGGGAAATAGTGAAATCCTCCCTCTGCATCATTTGAAATGAGACTAAATAGTACTATGCTGAGCAGAGGGATGATGAGAGCTTACGGGGTCTTTCATGTCTATGATCCCATGAATATCTCAGCTATGATATACTATCATCAAGAATACCAAAGTTGGTATGTGTCGCTTGCCTACCAGCACACACAAGCATGAAGCCCCATCCCAGGGTATGTTACACTGCTAATTAGGCCCACCCCCAGGCCCGCTGTCTAGCGCCAACCCACTGACCGTCTACATTAAAGCCCTGAAAGCTGGGTTCTGGCAGCCATCCAGCCATTCTCGAGAATAGCGGCACCTAACTGTCTGGCTCTGCAGGCCAATGAGAGGCTCAGGGCCGGTCATGGACTCTGCACGCTAGGATTGGGCTCTGGGGGCCTTGTGCCACCTCTGCCTGCCAGGATCAGGCCTTGGGGGCCCTGCACTGCCTCTGCCTGGTCCCACATGCTGGGATTAGGGCATGCAGGGAGGCACCGGGCCTATCTAGCAGGAAGGGCCATGGCCCACATGGCTCTCCACAGACCTGTGAGGAATCCTGCAGGCCAAGTGACATGGCATCAGGAGCCAGATCTGGCATGTGGGCCTAGGGTTGAACACATCTGCTTTAGAACAGTAGGGACCAATAGTGTTGGCAGCTGTGCTACAAATTAGACCTGTTCCATCTCCAAGTGCCGCTCTGATCCCCTTCTTCTGCTCAATCTGCTGCTGTGCTTTCTGCTCCATGCCCTGTGCTCCCTGCTTGATCAGCTTCCCTGGCCATCCCTGCTCTAAAAGCTCTGCTGACCATCACATCTCAAGGCTTAGCTTTCCTCCACCCTTTTTTCCCCAGCTGTGTGTCCAGAACTGCCCTGAGCTAAGCAAGATGAAATCATAGGAAGTCTAGCAGCTGCCTTTCTGCACCCAACTGCCTGTGTCTATTGCCTATAGTAAAAGCAAAACATGGAAAATGAGACAAGTTGGGTGTGTGATTCCTTGAAGGGCTCCATTTGGATTCCTATTACTCCCTTGTGGAACCTTTTTTGGAATCAGTTCATCTACTACTCCTCTTTCCTTTAGTGGTTTCTTTGTGCAGAGCAGCAAGGTAAGCAAATGAGGAGAAACAGTTGGTGTAGTCTGGGGCTGTTGAGGGCAACCTTTAGAGTTGTCCCAACTAGTGGTGTACACATACCTGCTGTTTCTGAAAACACAAGCCTAATTGTTTTCAGAGTAGCATCTCAAAAGAGACACTTCTCCCAGAGATGGCTGAAGCAGGTCTGAAGACCATGCCCACGACTCTCCATTGCGCTGTTCCAGTTTTATCAGAGGTCACGTGGGTATAAATCTGCAGTAATGCCACGATAAATTAAACTCCATCATCAAAACACTGTGTAACACTTTGGAACCTTTCCCATGCATTTCCCAAACTCAGAGAAGAGAATAGAGTATCCTCAATAGCCACCCCTCCCAGAAAGACTCATTGTGTTTATTCCATCACTTGGTTTAATAAGCGGTCGGCTTAGTGACGTGTTAGCACATATCTGCCACTCTGCCTTCATGGCTTCTATGCTCAGGACACAGGGGAGTGCCTCTAAACCCATGCCTGTGCATTCACCAATCTCTGAGCCAGGCAACTCAGCCCTGATTTGTTCTATTTTCTCCGCAGCATTTCCTTGCTCTTTATCATGGGCCATTGCTGCGCCAAATAGCACCACACTCTATGACTTGAGTTTCTCTTTGGAAATGAAACTCAGGCAGGAGGGAGTAAGTCACATGGTCATCACAGCCTCATCCTGAAGATGTCATCAAGATACTAGGAACTAATTGAGGGTCTACAGTGCAGGTGTAGTGAAGGCAGACGCCAACGGTGGCTGGGCTGGAGTGAACCTGATGGTTTCACAAAGAGAAGAAGCTATAGTGCTCAGTGTGCCAGGGATTCTGGCCTGGGCCTGTAGGCCATCACTACCACTACCCTAATTTACCTCAAGAGTTATTTCAACCCAGAATCTAGAGAATTCAAAGATAGTCTAGAGCTTTGCCTCTTTCCCCTGAATCAGGCTGACTGTCCTGTAGCAAAGCACAGAATCTGACCTACAGAACGGTTACCAAGGCCTAAAACAGCTATGGAAATAACAAGAAGTTAGGCTGAAGCTGACAAACCAAGACTAGCCCTGATTTAAAATGAGTTTTAAAGTGTATTAGCTTCATTCTTAAAGAGGCGCCCCACCCAATGAGTGCTGAGACATACAGGCAACCAGCAATGTGGAGGAAGCCAACCTTATCCCTGTTTGCTCCATGCTGCCTGGGCTGGGTGGGATTTAGTTTCTATTGCTCTCAGTCCAGTCCTTTTCAGCAAGACTAATTTCATTTCAAATAAATTGGAGGTAAATTATATCAAGTAGAGTCCCCAAGGTCTGGCCTATGTAATATAGATAGTATCTGTCATTGTCTTTCCCACCTCTAGTGATTTCACCACAGAAAGCAAGCAGAGGAATCCCCGTCTGCATCGCAGGATTTGCTTGCTTGAGTCCTGCTCTTTAAAGTCAGCCGTAATCACTTTTTAAATCATATTTGATGCTTTCTAGCCTTTGGCATTTCCTAATCCCAAAGATGCTGCCAATAACATGGCCCTGCCTTTCATCCCTTCAAGGCAGGCAGCAGGTCAACCTGCCCTTGATGCAGCTTGAATCCTCTGGCCCTGAAGATAGGAGGGAGAAGTTCATTATTGCTGTTGGGTTTGTGATTGGCACTCAACAAGCCAAAGCAGCCAAAAGAGAAGTCTTGAAGGAAAATGCAGCTCGGTTTCTTTCACTCAACTGATTCCCCTCGAAGGCCTGTTTCCAGTCAATACTGTTTCTGAGGAGGACAACCTTTGTTTATTAAGCAAGTTGCCCGGACCGAAAAAGCACCAAGACACTGCATCCCTTTTTAATAATGTCCAGCCTTGTGCCTGCTACTGTAATGCAGCACTATGCTGAGTGATCTAACACAAAGCATAATTTTACTCTACTTGCAAGAGAAAGAAGCCCTAAACTTCTTTTTGAACTGGAATCTGAGGGTCTATTTAAAAATCCTCCACCATTAAAGAGCATTGCACAAACGTATGACATGTCAGTCCAACTAATAAGATACTTATGTTACCTGATGATTATTAATCAAAGAGCCACTGACCACTAATACCACCACTTCGGGGTATTTCTCAAGCATGGTCACGTAGTTGCATTGTGACATGGTATTGCATCACTTGCCACCTTCCACTGTCATACTGTACCGGTGGGCCATGCCACATGGGATGATTGTGAGGCAATGCCACAGCACAGTGTCTCACAGTGAAGACTTAGCATTACTATTTGGGGCATTGCAAATTCAGCTGTGGCCGTTTAGCTGTCATGTGAGCTTTGACTCCTGGGGAAGGCGAGAGGAACAAAGCTCAGCTGGAAATTAAAGGTTAGTTGGCAGGCTATAGTTTCATAGTTGGTAGGGTCGGAAAGGACCTAAGCAGATCATCAAGTCAGACCCCTGCCATGGGCAGGAAAGGATGCTGGGGTCAAACAACACCGGCTAGGTGATTATCTAGCCTCCTTTTGAAGACCCCCAGGGTAGGGGCGAGCACCACTTCCCTTGGAAGTTGGTTCCAGATCCTAGCCTCCCTGACTGTGAAGTAGTGCTTCCTGATGTCTAGCCTGAACCTACTCTCAGTCAACTTGTGGCCGTTATTCCTTGTAACTCCCAGTAGAGCTCGGGAGAACAAGGACTCTCCCATTGCCTGCTGGTCCCCCTTGGCAAGTTTATAGATGGCCACCAGATCTCCTCTCAGCCTTCTCTTGTGGAGGGTGAACAGGTTCAGGTCCTGTAGCCTCTCCTCGTATGGCCTGCTCTGCTGCCCCCTGATCATGCGGGTGGCCCTCCTCTGGACCCTCTCAATGCTGTCCACATCCCTCCTGAAGTGCAGCGCCCAGAACTGGATGCAGTACTCCAACTGCAGCCTCACCAGTGCTGCATAGAGGGGGAGGATCACCTCCTTGGACCTGCTCGTGATGCATCTGTGGATGCATGACAAGGTGCGGTTGGCCTTACTGACCGCGTCCCCACATTGGCAGCCCATGTTCATCTTGGAATTAATAGTGACTCCAAGATCCTTTTCTGCCTCTGTGCTGACAAGAAGGGAGTTCCCCAGCCTGTAGGTATGCTGCTGGTTCTTCCTCCCCAGGTGCAGTACCTTACACTTGTCAGTATTGAAACCCATCCTGTTCTCATCAGCCCACCCCTGTAACCTGTCCAGATCTAGTTGTAGCCTGTCCCTCTCTTCTAGTGTGCTCACTTCTCCCCACATCTTAGTGTCATCCGTGAACTTGAACAAGGTGCTTTTCACCCCCTCTTCCAAGTCACCGATGAAGATGTTGAACAGTGCGGGCCCAAGGACCAAGCCCTGGGGGACGCCACTGCCCACATCCCTCCAGGTCGAAAATGACCCGTCCACCACCACCCTCTGGGTGTGGCCCTCCAGCCAATTTGCAACCCATCTGACTGTGTAGGCATTGACACCACAGTCGCCTAATTTTTTAATGAGGATGGGGTGAGAGACAGTGTCAAAGGCCTTCCTAAAGTACAGAAAGACTATGTTCACCGTGACACCTGTATCTAAGGCTTTGGATGCTCTATAGAGAGCATCCAAATTCCAACCATTCATAGAGCTGTGGGGGTCCTATGGGAAACTTTTTTGTTAGACAAAATTCTGCAAATTATAAAAGGATGCAACTCAAACCCGTGTAAGAAGGTCCAATGTCAGTGGCCTAACTTACATCCACTCTGAATTTGGCCCTATGGCAGTCTGTTCACTTTCCCTCATTCTTTATCACTGAAGCCATTCTCAAAAACATCGGAATTACCAGCCTGAATCAAACCAGCAGCCCCCTTGTCTTGGCCCTTTCTATCTCTGGCTGGGCCAGTACCAGCTGCTGCCATGGATGCCAGAAACCCCCATGGAAAACAGGATCTTTCTCTGATCACCTACAGCTACTGCTTATTTCTCACTTCATGTTGTACTGACAGAGTCCAGCCCATAAGATATGGATGAACAGAGTAGGTGGGGTCACCTTGCAGAAGGAAGGCCTATGATGACCTTATTGTTTCTATAAAGACACTCCACTAGCAAGCAGAAAACAAACATGGAGGGGTAAGATATGGGGCACCCCTAGAAGAGGGACACTGACATTCACACAACGGGGATGTATTAGGAAAGAGCCAACATAACAGCATCTCTGGCATGTGTTCATTCCAGGGGCTGGCCTGAGGCAGCACTTTCACTTTGCCAGGGTCAGTCTTGCATGCTTCAAGCAGAAGAGCAATAATTACTTAGGAAGAACCCATTCCTTCCACACCCCTTGTTAGTTCTCCTCTCCATCTCACTGCCACCCTCTTCTGCCTAGCTAAGAACAGACAACATCATGAACTACTGTCTCTCCCAGCCATCAAGGGAGACTTCTGAAGGCTCAGATGTAAGGTAGATGGGCAACTCCCACTGACTTTAAGGAAGAATCAGGCACTTTTCCATCCTTTGAACACTTGCCCTCATGCTTTGGCTGCCCCAAGGGACCTCGCCGCTCCTAGGACCAGATAATCACCCTTGAGCTACAGAGACCTTCTTTGTGCTTTATTATAAGCAAGTGCTAGTATTTAGCACAACTTTAGGTTTTGCAACATTCCTAATTGCTCCTTTCACTACCTCCTAAAGCAGACACAGCCAAGACAATCTGCTTCAACAGGTCTGGATGACTACACAAGCAGATTGGGCAACCTTAAGTCTTTGGCACCTGCAAAAGGTATTCCATTTATTTGGTGTCTCTCATCCAGAGGGTTCCTAAAATTCTCAGCAAAGCTTCTGAGCAGATTAGAAACTGAATTATGCTCTGTGATAAAGTGGTCTTGCCTGGGTGTAACTGAGGGCACAATTGGATTCTCTCTCTTAAGGAATTGCTTCACTCCCAAAAGAAATACAACTATTTCTAAGGGCAAAATGTAGCAAATACTGCAATGTGGTAGGACAGGTAGTAAAGACTGCTGTGTTCAGTTGAAATCCCAGCTGAGGAAGAGCTAGGTGAGAAATATGTATTTATCCAGGCTAAAATGTCCTGAGGGCACTAGGATCAATATAACCTAACTTATGTGCAATGGACTGTGTGATTATTATAGACCAAGTTGGCTGAGCCAACATTTTACACTTCATCCCAAAAATATCTGTACATTTCTGAAATGGACATCAGCCAAGGAAGACCTCCATTTATAGCAACTTGTAGAGATGTGAGAAAAAACTTACCTGCTACTGTACTGTACTGTACAACACCAACATCAACATTAACCAACATCAACTGCATTATTCTTCTCCTTGATCTATGACCACACTTAAATCCTCCTCTTTATTTAGCTCAGATTTATGGTGGCAGTTCATGTATACTAATGAACAGGAAACAAGCGTCTCCTATTAAGGCCCTGATTGACTACTCACTCTTGGTATTTTCCAGACAGCAAATTAGAAGAACAATAACTGAACGCGAGAGGCAGCTATGTAAAAACGCCCCTAAAAGCCAGGATTTATGCAGAAGAAAAATAACTTTTTGGTGAGTAAGAAATTAGTGGTGGGGGAATTGTCATCTTAGGAGAGAGAGATTTGTCTTGCCTCATTAGGCTACAAATATATCAAGATGAGCCAGAAGAAAGCATGGCAACGTCTCAGCCAATTTTCCCCTTACCTGTGACAGGCATCAGGGAGACAAGTGGAGATAAGCTTAGTGAAGCATCTACTGGGATCCTCCATAGACAGACCCACCAGTTTCACATTGACTGGAAAACAAAATCAAAATTGCTCCTCCGAAGTTTTAAAAGTCTCTTTTGACATAATCCACCTGAGGTCCCTGACTCAGTGGGTGCATCTACATGAGACGCTAAGTGCGCAGTAGCCAAATAATACTGCATAGTAGCACGTCACAGCACTGACAGTGCTAATCGGCTACAGTGCAGTATTATTAAGCTACCGGACAGTAGTGCCACTTAAAAGGCATTCACCAGTAACTCTGGTTACTGCGTGTTTATTTAGCATTTGATTATACAAGTACTAAATAAATGTGCAGTAACCACTGCGCAGTCGCATCTCATGTAGACGTGCCCAGTATCTCTCACCTTGTGTATGTAGCACAATGCCTTGGCAAACAACTGTGAACTCCTCAGGGGCATCTACACGTGCAATTAGCATGGCTGAATAAATGCTGGTGCAGTTTATGCCAGAGTTTATTGCTCCTGGGAGCAATGTTTACATATGCACCCGGAACCGCAATATATTCATAGTTGATATCCTTGGGTCCCTTCCAACGCTACCATCTAGTCCGACCCCCTGCCATGGCAGGAAAGAGTACTGGGGTCAAACGACCCTGCCAGATGTTCGTCCAGCCTTTTTTAAAGACCTCCAGGGTAGGAGCCAGCACCACTTCTTTTGGAAGTTAGTTCCAGGTCCTAGCCGCCCTGACAGTGAAATAGCACCTCCTAATGTCTAGCCTGAAACTACCCTGCACTAGCTTGTGTCCATTGTTTCTTGCAACTCCCGGGATTGCTCGAGGGAACAGGGACTCCCCCAATGCCTGCTGGTCCCCCTTGACTAGTTTGTAACAGGCCACTAGATCCCCTCTCAGCCTTCTCTTGTGGAGGCTGAACAGGTTCAGGTCCCTCAGCCTCTCCTCGTAGGGCCTGCCCTGCTGCCCCCTGATCATGCGGGTGGCCCTCCTTTGGACCCTGTCCATATTGGCCACATCCCTCCTGAAGTGTGGTGCCCAGAAGTGGACGCAGTACTCCAGCTGCAACCTGACCAGTGTCGCATAGAGGGGGAGGATCACCTCCTTGGACCTGCTCGAGATGCATCTGTGGATGCACGACAAGGTATGGTTGGCCTTCCTGACCGCGTCCCCACTTCGTCGGCCCATGTTCATTGTGGCATCAATGATGACTCCAAGGTCCTTTCCTGTCTTGACACTGGCGAGAAGGGAGTTCCCCAGCCTGTAGGTGTACCGCTGGTTCTTCTTCCCCAGGTGCATTACCCTGCACTTGTCAGTGTTGAACCCCATCCTGTTCTCCCCTGTAACCTGTCTAGATCTGCTTGCAGCCTGTTCCTTCCTACTAGCATACCCACTTCCAAGGACCGAGCCCTGGGGAACCCTACTTCCCACATCCCTCCAGGCCGAATAAGACCTGTCCACCGCCACTCTCTGGGTGCGGCCCTCCAGCCAGTTAGTGACCCATCTGACCGTGTAGGCATCAACACCACTATCTTCTAGTTTCTTACTGAGAATGGGGTGAGAGACCGTGTCGGAGGCATTTCTGAAGTCCAGAAAGATTATATCCACAGCAACACCTGCATCCAAGGACTTGGTTACCTGGTCATAGAAGGCCACCAGGGTGGCTTGACAAGACCTGCCCCTAATGAACCCATGCTGGTTGCCCCTGAGCACAATCTCCCCTGCTGGCCCTTCCTGGACATGTGCCAGGATAATTCTTTCGAAAAGTTTCCCCAGGACCGAAGTAAGACTCACGGGCCTATAGTTTCCTGGGTCCTCCTTCCTCCCTTTTTTGAAGATGGGGACCACATTGGCCCTTTTCCAGTCCTCCAGCACATTGCCCGAGCGCTATGAGTGCTTGTAGAGCTGTGCCAGAGGTCCCGCAATGACCCCTGCTAGTTCTTCAGCACTCTGGGGTGGAGATCATCAGGACCTGCAGATTTAAATACATCTAGTTCCTCCAGAAGTTCCCTGACAAGGTCCTCTTTAACCCTAGGCCTGGGTGTGCCACTTTGAGCCAGAGTGGCCCTTTGAGCCAGGACAGCACAGGCCTGGCAGGCAGGGGGCTCAAAGGGCCACTCTGCCAGCATGGGGACACTCTGCCCTGGCTCAATGTGCTGCAGAGGGGCTGGATAGGGCATGAGGGTGCTCTAGTGTGGGGCTAACTGAGAGGCAGGTCCTATGCTGTAGCACCCTCATGCCCCAGCCAGCCCCGGTTACTGTCTAGTGTCTACATTTGCATTGCAATGGAGTAAATAACTCCCCTGTAGGATAGTACATATGTTGGGCAGTGCTATCCTACAGTGGAGTCAATCAGTTTACTCCAGTTTAATAGCACCACACATGTTAATGGTGATGCTTTACTATGGAGCCAATTAGTCAACTGCAGTAAAGCGCGCATGTAGATGCGCCCAAAAAGTCTCTGTCTGTCTGTACTGAAGGAGGTAGTTGGGAGGCCAGTTCCACCTTGGTAAGCATTCAGTCACTGCGCTCTCTTCTGATACTTCCAGTAAGTGGTCCATGTATAATGGGACAAAGTCTACAATATGGACACCTATCCCCTAGGTAAAGGTTACAGACTGCCGTCAAGAGCTGGCTGGGATGATAGATTACAAGAGACAGGCTAGAAATTGGATGAGAAGCCATTGGTAATTTCATATAGTCTGCTAGGTGCCCATTCACTGAGAAGGGCTTACAGTCACTACAGCCCTGGCTGGGTTTGAACTCATGACCTGGAGGCAAAAGGCTTCACATCCCATTCCCAATTCATATCTGGAAAAATCAAACAAACAAGAGCAGAAGGAAATATATAAAAAGCTGGTGCCTAGGAGACTGCAACCTCTGTCCTCTTTCCGTTCTGTCCGTCAGACACCGGTCTACGGTTCCCCTGGGGCTGGATGAAAGGAGCCTCCCTAGTGAAGAGTGATTGATTTGCCTGACTGAGCTTTGCATTCTCCTCATTTCCTTCCGCAGTCTCAGGTGCCTCAACTCCCAGCATCTTCCCCATTCCTTCTCCCAATCAGCCTTACCCCCAGCAGTCCTCCGAGAGGCACTAAAACTTCCCGAGGGACACAAAGGACCGGTCAGGGAAATAAAATGCCATTTATCTTTCTGCAGCATAGAGCAGACACCCAAGCAACTCTGCCAGCACCAGACACTGAAATGCAAACAGCTTCATCAAGATACACTGAAATCGTAGAAATTCCTTGGCAGAAAGGTAAGATCAGTAAACCGCACTGAGCTAATCTCTGTGACCAGATGTTTTTCATATTGAAGTGATCTTTGTCCTCGAGTAGCAGATGGGGACTATGCTTAATATCACCAGCAAAATCCCAGCCCCTAGAAACAGTAGTGTTAGAGTGATGTTGTAGCTGCGACAGCCCAGAAATCACAGCTCTGTGGCCCTCTCAATAATTCATCAAATTGGTCCAATTTTGGAGGGGAAAAATGTTTGAAAGGGCTCTCTCAAAAACACATCCCGAATGAAAATGATCCTGTTTTCACTCAACTGATGGTCTCCTAGCATAGATGGTACCAGTGGGAAAGCAACCGTGCACCGAAATGTGCTTAACACACAATATAGCAGATAGCTCAGGTCCATGCTCAGTGCCTCAATACATCATTTTGGCCTGTCTAGTTTTCAACCAGGGATGTTTTCAATAGAACAGAACTGGAAAAACCCCCCACAATCTCCTCAGCAGTCCATGGTGTATTTAGGTAAATGAGAAGTGAATGTACCAGTATTTCTAATAACACAATACCTGGCATTTTTCTTTTCAAATCCTCCAGATGCTGTATAGATATTTCCTGAGCAAAACGCGGCTGGGGAGAAGCAAGTGTTATCCCAATTTTGAAGGGGCACAGAGAGGGCAAGTGGCTTGCTGTTTGCTCTGGCAGGAAGCAGTAGGTGAGCTGAAGCTCTGGCCACGCACCGTCTGTGCCAACCCGGGACTGGCGCACGAGAACTTTTGCTGCTGTCAGAAGCTGAGCCTTTGACCCCAGGGAGCTGGATGGCAGCAGTCATGCTGAGAACCTTTAAATAGCTAAAGAATAGCTGAAATATTTTAAGGCACTTAAAAAAAAATAAATCATCTGCAATGCATCCTTCTGACATGTTCTCTAACCTCCATTTATTTTCACCTACAAATAGCTCTTTAAATTATACCAAATTTTCAGGCTTTAACATCTTCCTCAGGAGGAAAATTAATGAAATCCTTTCCCTGGCTGATCTCTGGAGAATACAGGATGTTATTGCTGCTGGTGCTCTCTGCAGGCACCAGATAACAGAGCACAGCAGTAAGGCTGTACTGATTATTGATGCCCTCTGGCGGCTAAGCATTGAAACAGCAGGGATTTAGCAGACAGATTGACTACGTTTGTGTACATTAAAGGTGAATTGTGCAGGTAGTTTGCCTCCTGCTATTTTAAAGTGATCCCTTCTGGGCAACTTCATCCTGAAAACTGCATTTGAAAACCACGTACAGGTCCCGTCTGAGGCTTTTCCATGTGTCAGGGAATGCACTACTTAGAGAGAGGAACTGACAACCCCGGTTTGGTCCAGGCATGGCGTGAGCATCACCACTCGGCTTTGTCAGCACGTCTCCAACTTGACAAGGAGCACCAGAGGTATTTGAGCTTCAGCTCCCTGCTTTGACACAGGGCAACGTGCTTGTGTGGGGGCTATATGAGACCTATCAAACTCGTTTCACTTGTGATCTAGCTAAAGGATTAGACCTCAGGTCTCCAGAGGCTAACGTTCCTCTGGGGTATTCTGAAGAGAGATTTATTTGCTGTCCTGTTAAATGAATTCATCACCTTAAAATCTCCAATGTAGGACTGTAGCTCTGTGTTGGGAGCATGCAAGTCACTGCAGGACCATGGCATCCTAAATGCTGCTCAGTACCTAGCTCTTGAGCTACAGAGGCGAGACACAGCAGCCTTGGAAATGGGCTTGTCCCAGTGATGATGGATGGGATTTCACTTGCTGGTCAAAACAAACAGAAATGCCTTGCCCAGGGCCAGTGAATGAGAGAATTTTACTAGGCTGATTTACAAGGCGGCAGAGCACACAGGATGAAATCTGAGGTCACTCGAGGAGAGCTGCCAGCCTAACATTTCCCTGACAAGGGCAACGTGTTTTAAATGCCAGTTTTGAAAGGCCAGTGTCAGTGATTGCTAGCCACCGCACCACTTATCTGGCCAGGGGGCTACAAATGAAAACCATGCGGTAACCACCATGTGACTATAGTGGTGTACAGGGACACCTGGCTTCCAAGGCAGCTTCTCTCTCATCCTGCAGGACTGTCAGCAGAAGAGCTATATGAAGGGCTTTCTGAGAGACAGAAAGAGAGTGAGAAAGAGGGCACCACCTTTGGGACAGTCAGGACTCCACAGCCAGGGTTACTGGGCCTACTTCCATTAGCTCTCCGATGACAAGTATCATCTCTCCCTTGGGAAAGAAAGTGGAATGTGCCCCTGTTCTCCACTCTGTCGTTCCATCAGCCAACAAGTCAGTCAAACGTAAGACACAGCAAAAACCCTGGTTTCCATTTTGCAGCCATAGAAGCTTCTTGCCTATGATTTTCACCCTTCAGGTAACAATAGACCAATGAAAGCAATAGATCAATGTTAGGAGATGAACTTGCTCTGCACCAGGCAAAGGGAGTGAAAAGGGGCATTTGCTATTCCAGTAGCTAATGAAAAGTAATTGGCAGCTAGGGACATTTGTACACACCACGGGGGTTTACTTCGGTTTAATCCTCCCTAAATTGAAGCGGTCAGTCTTTAAAAACACTGCTTCAATTCAGGGTGAAATAAACCCACATGGTGTGTACACAAGCGTCGGGTCTGACCCTTACCTGCCTCTCTGGCAGCAGGGAGGGGAGGGCGAGCTGCTGGTGGGCCGAGCGGTCCCCGAGCTGGGGGGAGGGGACTGGTGCTTCCCTCCATGGCAGCAGCTACTTTAAAGGCCAATTTTGTGGTGTGTACAAGTGGCCTAGAACAGCACCTCTCTCTGGCTAGAAGAATTTGCCCAGCCCCTTGGCAGGTCTGTACTACAGACTGCATTGCTGTGGGCCATTCCTTTTGACTAGGAGGGCTTGAGGGAGGAAGGATGTTTAAGGAAACCTGAAAAAAGCAACAGGCCCCAGGGGATTATTTCAAAGCAAAATGTAAATTGTAGAAAATCCCCGAGGGATTTTTCCTTTGTGTGTCTTTTATCAGGAATGGTAACAGAGATGGTGCATTAAGCTTTGAAGTGGTGCTGCCTTTTATTTTCTGTATACTGCACTTTTATCTTGCTAAGCATTCACCCTGTGCGCGCCAAGCTCAGCTGCCATTTTGTTCTCCCTGCTCAGTGCAGACACCATGCTTTCCTCTGGAAATGTAACTTGCACTCTTTCATCTAAACTAAAGCGTGACTAAACATGCTTTGTCCCTTGTCTGTAGGGA